CCCCCCTCCCCCTTAAAAATATGCAATAATTATTCATACGGATTATTTAATTCCTGTCCATAGCTGAAACGTAAGAGGGTAAGAACATGCAAAGAGAGAGACAGACAGACATACAGAGAGAGAGAGAGACAGGGACAGAGACAGACAGAGAGGAAGAGAGAGAGAAAGAGAATAGATAAGAAAAAAAATCAAACCCAAAAACAAAAATGAAGCTAATTTACACCCGGAAGACGTGGCTTTTCCTTGATGACGGTCTGGTTACAAGCTTGGTTTATAGGATACCATGCAACAGAGCGTATCAGTGGTGTCACATTTACTTGAGTCAGCGTCTTTCTAGAATGTAGCCCAATTTTCCGTCTCGACAGACGAACCTAACCCTATATGTACGCCCTTTGGTCATTTTGTACAACCGGAATTGTATTCCTCTCCCACAAAAACAAACAAATACACACGCAAACACACAAACAAACACACACACACACACATACACACACACACACACAGACACACACACACATACACATAAACACACACTCACAGACGTACACACACAAGCACACACATTATATTATGTTACTCTCATTAAAATTCAATATGAAAAGAAAAGAAAAGCTTACAAAATGTACATAATATCACATCAGATGCATAATTGAATCACGGCATACAGGAATTCAATTACAAGACCTATAGAGTTATAATATATCGTATATGTAGACGCATACTGGGAAAAAAAGAAAAACACATTGATGTTTATTACGGCAGTTGCCTTATACTAACTAATAATACAAACAACTTCTTTTGAAACTTTTTCTTTTTGTTTTTAGAGGTAATATCTGCCACTGCGTGATCTTACAATACGTGTGTGTATGTCTTGTTATTCCGCAGAAGAAACTTTCAACCTTTTGTGAGAGGAGTAAAGAGCTAACGAAGTCACGATGCCTGTGTGTAACGTAAGGGATTCTTCCGGGGACACTATGGAATTGTATGTGATGGAGTCCAAACCCCAGTACTTTGCCGTGTCTGCTTTTGATCATGACTGGGTCGACAATATACCGGTGAGGACTTCTTTGTTGTTGTCTTTTTAATATGAGTTTTTTCGGCACTTGTAACACAATAAGGTCACCGAAGTGCCGAAGATTAGAGGTGTTACAAGAGAGCACCAAACACAAAAAGAAGGAGGGGGGGGGGGGGTAAA